TGTCAAATACCTAAGGGAAAAAATTCCGGAATTGTATTCATTTGAGTGGCATTCTAGAAGTTGGTGGTATAGAGATGACAAGACTTTATGGATGATCAACTAGTGGCATTCTAGAAGTTGGTGGTATAGAGATGACAAGACTTTATGGATGATCAACTAGTGGCATTCTAGAAGTTGGTGGTATAGAGATGACAAGACTTTATGGATGATCAACTAGTGGCATTCTAGAAGTTGATGGTATAGAGATGACAAGACTTTATGGATGATCAACTTCGTTGTTTTGACATAAAGTCTTGTCATCTCCCGAATTGTAATTGACCAGACTGACTGACTGAGTTTGGTTTTACCCCGCTTTTAGCAATATTCCAGCAACATCACAGCGGGGGACACCAGAAATGGGCTTCACACATTGTACCCATGTGGGGATTCGAACCCGGGTCCGCGGCGTGACGAGCCAATGCTTTACCCATTAGGCTACCCCACCGCCCCGTAATTGACCAGAACTGCGTACGCGTGATGTATTGGCGATAACTGTTCGGCAGCCAGTACCAAATCATCCATCTATGAGTTACTTGAAACAGCAATTTTTTACTGATCCACAAATCCTTGAATCAAGGTGTTTATTCCAATTTTGTTCATTTAAATAAATAACAATAAAACAGAGAAATAGGCTGAAGTTTATTGTCATGATTAACTAAAGAGTACATGTTTCAGATCTAAATACCAGACAGGGCGCGATATAGCCAGACTTGGACACAAACTTACGACAATGTTAGTACGAAGATCCTGATGAGGAACAGTGCCCTTGACTACATATCCACATGAACCTAAAAGCAGGTACATTACAGCAGTGTATGAAATAAGCCAAAACCCCAGCCAGACATCAGGGCTGGTAACTTCAAAATGTTACCAGCCCAAAATAGATTTAACCAGACCAGACACCAAGACATGGTGAATTATTCAGATGTATGGAACATCGGAAACCAGACCATCGGGCTGGCTAGCTGTAATTTAGACCGTCCGTAAGAAATCTAGCCCGTCTTGGGCGGTCGGACGGGCCTTATTTCATACACTGATTACAGCTGTTGAAATGATGCAAATGCAATCACATTGAGGAACAGTGCTCTTGACTACATATGCACATGTACCTCCAAGCAGGTACATTACAGCTGTCAAAATGATGCAAATGCGAAATACAATATACTCATGGAAAATACAACAACGGAACAGAGCCATAAAGAGGGGGTTTCATCTCAATACCTATTGACAGCTCCTGGCTGTTGACTGCCTGCTATGAGAGGCATGGGATGTCCCTCGCTGTTCCAGTCACTAGATTGTCTGGTCTAATCTGGATTAAGTACAAGCAACCGTGATATAGCTTGAATATTAAATACATACCTTGAGTGTCACCGGGGACTGAACTAATCGGGTTATATACCGGTACACAATTCCTGGTGTATAACTAACACTGAACCAATCGGGTTATACACACAGTTCCTGGTGTATAACTAAGACTGAACCAGTCGGGTTATATATCCAGTTCCTGGTGTATAACTAAGACTGAACCAGTTGGGTTATATATCCAGTTCCAGTTCCTGGTGTATATACTTCCTGGTGTAAACTAAAGACTGAACCAGTCGGGTTATATATCAAGTTCCTGGTGTATAACTACAGACTGAACCAGTTGGGTTATATATCCAGTTCCTGGTGTATAACTAAGACTGAACCAGTTGGGTTATATATCCAGTTCCTGGTGTATAACTAAGACTGAACCAGTCGGGTTATATATCCAGTTCCTGGTGTATAACTACAGACTGAACCAGTCGGGTTATATATCAAGTTCCTGGTGTATAACTACAGACTGAACCAGTTGGGTTATATACACAGTTCCTGGTGTATAACTAAGACTGAACCAGTCGGGTTATATATGCAGTTCCTGGTGTATAACTACAGACTGAACCAGTCGGGTTATATATCAAGTTCCTGGTGTTTAACTACAGACTAAACCAGACCATATTCCTACTGAAAATCATGCCAAAAAATACTACAGTTTATGACTGTTCCTCTATGGGTACGATAAACCTTTCGCTCTAAAAAGATGTGCATATTTTATAAAATAAGAACCACATTTCATTACACACATGTCTAAGGCCACTTTTTCTGAGAAAAAAACCCCAAAATACATTTCATCAAAAATGTCTATCATTCCCTTCCCATTGGCACCCCCAAAATACACAATGTCATACCCTCGGCTAAAACACCTGAGAATGTAAACACTTGTGGTACTGAAGTGTTCCCTAAATTGAAGCCCCAATTTCATCTTCAAGAGAGTTTCAGAGGTAACATATAGGGGTGAAACGGTACACTCTTACCATGGTACGGTATGTATTGCAGTACAAGGCCCTCGATTCGGTATATGAGAACTTACTTCCGGGAAAATTGCTCCGTCTAGCAAAGAGATTTTGATAAACGATTTGATTTCTAGACATTTTAGAAAAGGTTTAAAAAGGTTAACAAAATGACGGTACGAAAATCGAAAATACTGAAGTTTTGGATTGCAAAATACAAAATTCTACAAACACTGCGGTATACTGTTCACCCCTAGTAAGATGTTTGTTGAATAAACACGGTGCCGTTGTACAAAGCGATCTTGGCGCTAAAGTGACCGTAACTCCCATGCCTTAACATAGACTTAAGGTAGTCTTAGCTCTAAGGTTGTTTTGTACTACAGCACCCAGGTTGTAGTAAAATTAACACATATTCACACTCTCTTGTATCATACATGTGACAGAATACTTATTAATTTCTTGACGTTTGTTTTCCCATAAACTTCATTGTCAGCTTTGATCTAAACATTTTGTTCAATTGATGACAACTGTGACTGGTCAGTTTGATGGCTGTCCTGGCTGGTCACTCTCACACTCACTGGCTCTGGTCACCAGGGCCTAGATTTTCAAAGCTCTCTTAGCGCTAAGATAGTCGAAAGTGCCATACATTAACATTAACTTACGACTATCTTAGCGCGCTAAGAGAGCTTCGAAAATATAGGCCCAGGATATTTCCGTAAACTGCATGAGCCTTAGAGCATGAGCTGGAAAATCTTTCCTCAACCAGACAAACCGAGAATGGCCAACCACTAAAAACTGGGCCCTTACGTGCATCGCTAAGGTAACAATGCAAGACAAAATATCCGGAAACAGAAACAAAAAGTCTGACTGAAAGCATCAATCCATAAGTATTGATCCATTCCTTGTTTTGCTGCTGGAAATATGAGTGAGTGAGTGAGTTTAGTTTTACCCAGCTCTCAGCAATATTCCAGCAATATCGTGGCAAGGGACACCAGAAATGGGCTTCACACATTGTGCCAATGTGGGGAATCGAACCCACTGGGTCTTTGGTGGACGAGCAAACGCTTTAACCATTAGGCTACCCCACCGCCCCTGAGCAATGACTAAATTACAGTATAACATTCGGAATGTTGTTTGAAACATAATAACAAAATATATGCTTGTAAAAACAATACAGAGGTAAATCAATAACAGACAAGTCTCTGAAAATGCTACAAAATGCATGCATATTTTTTTGCTGCTTTTTTGTTACTTCTGTTTTATAATGCACATGCAATTCTGGATTAAACAGCTGAAAAACATATTCTGAACTTCACAAATCTTTTAAAAATATATGTATTCGCCAAAAATATCAAATCCAGGCATAAAGAAATTAAATCAATTATATGTTTTTGAAGTGTTCAAACTGGATTGTCATGGAAACCAATGGAAACAAGTAAATTAACCAAACAAATCAGTCATAGATGTCATACTGAAAACAGATCTAATGGTCAAGTATGTATCAACAAATGCTAGTATACAAACACTAGTCTCTAGTCTTTTCAGTTGAGTATTTTTGACTTCCTGAAAATGTGAAGTACACACAGAACAAAATTCTACAGAGCCAGGAAATTTTAAGATACATATATTTATCAACAGGTTTTCATTATGGTACTGCAGAGAGAGTGAGCTTAAGTTTATGCCGCTTTCAGCAATATTCCAGCAACATCATGGCAGGGGACACCAGAAACGGGTTTTACACATTGTACCTATAGTCCGTTTGGCTCAACAGCGGACCGATGAATTGCAATCTAACTCGAAAACTAATAAACATAACATACTCAATGAAACGCTGATCATAATCAAAACATCATACCCACTCTGTGAGGTTTTTGCAGAATTTTTGTCCTAAAAATAAAAAAGTTGTTTTAACAATCTATCATTAAAATATTGACACAGTTCACTATTTGTTACGAGGGAGGAGTGCAGAGAAAGGGACAGCCAGGTTTCATTGAGTATGTTATGTTTATTAGTTTTCGAGTTAGATTGCAATTCATCGGTCCACTTTTGAGCCAAACAGACTGTATGTGGGGAATCAAACCTGCTATTCAGTGTGATGAGCGAATGCTTCACCTACTAGGCTACCCCTACTACTGTAGAACATGGAGAGAATGAAAATTGACAAATCAAACAAATGGATAAAACAAACTTATGTAATGTTCATTTCAAACACACCCTCTACAGTGAATTAATATACGCAACATACTAGTATTTGATCCCCAATAAACCCTAATACCCCTAATTTGTGACTGAATGAGTTCTAATTAACTCACTAATTAGTGACATGCTACGCAAACCATAGAGGGAATTTCATAGTCAGTAAGTGAGTGAGTGAGTTGGGTTTTAAGCCGCTTTTAGCAATATTCGAGCAATATCACTGCAGGGGGCTCAAGAAATGGGTTTTACACATTGTACCCTTGTGGAGAATCGAACCCATTCCTTTGGTGTGATGAACAAATGCTTCAACCACTAGGCTACCCCATTGCCCCAATTTTATAATAAAATCACACGTTAATTTTAAGTCTCCATCCTTTGGGTATCACTCAGTGACTTCATTCAAGACAGTGAAGACGATGAACAAACCCAGTAAATGTAAGTACAAGATCTTTGAGATTCTGAATGTAAATCTTTCATATGAATTTTTGAGCAAAGCAGATGAGGAAGGACCAGGTGTACAACCACCAACTGGTGCTACCCCATCACCTAGTGGCACGAACAATTAGTTAAGTCATCAATACAGGAGTCCTGTCACTTCATTCATTTGATAATCTGGGTCTGGGTCATGGATGAGGGCATACTTTGGGACCATTCATTTGATAATCTGGGTCTGGGTCATTGATGAGGGCATACTTAGGGACCATTCATTTGATAATCTTGGTCTGGGTCATGGATGAGGGCATACTTAGGGACCATTCATTTGATAATCTGGGTCTGGGTCTTGCATAAGGGCATACTTAGGGACCATTCATTTGATAATCTGGGTCTTGGATGAGGGCATACTTAGGGACCATTCATTTGATAATCTGGGTCTGGGTCTTGCATAAGGGCATACTTAGGGACCATTCATTTGATAATCTGGGTGTGGGTCTTGGATGAGGGCATACTTAGGGACCATTCATTTGATAATCTGGGTCTGGGTCATGGATACGGGCATACTTAGGGACCATTCATTTGATAATCTGGGTCTGGGTCTTAGATGAGGGCATACTTACGGTTTTGGGACTGGGATATTTTTAAAAAAAGGACAAAGAAGTGGGTTTTTATAAAAATACAGGAATGCAGTAAATCTGCGTCAGGTTTTCAAAAGAAGACAATTACATGCCTCTCACCAAGTGTCCAGAAAACAAGGTTTGGTTTCATCTATGCTCAACTGGGCGGTCCCTGAGCTGTAACTGTAATGTTTCCAGATTGACAGGACTCACTGTAGCATGACAATATAATCAGTATCAAGGACAAACAAAACATCATCAAATGTTGCCGCACCCTATAAGTAGAACTATATACATAAACATATATGTAAAAAGAGGAATATTTGTTGACATCATGCCATAGTTTGCTCACAGAAACAAAAACATACAGACACCACAGCAATTTAAATTTGCCCTCAATCATTTCAGTTCATCTTCTTAAAGTTACGTCAGATTCATGTCAAAATCACTTCAAGTGACATCTGCTCCAAGTGGCATCTGCTTTAAGCGACATCTGCTTCAAGAGACATCTTCTTCAAGTGACATCTTCTTCAAGAGACAACTGCTTCCAGAGATGTCTGCTTCAAGTGATGTCTTCTTCAAAGAAACATCTGCTTGAAGAGGACATCTGCCTCAAGTATTGTCTGCTTTATGTGGCGTCTGTTCCATATGATGTCAGTTTCAAGTAGGGTCAGTTCTACTTGTCCTCATGTTTGGATTTGTCGCTGTTTTCATGTTGTGTGATGAAGTTGAGCAAGTCAATCCTTGTTGCGATGCCAAAAATCATCTGCTTCTTGGACATTAAGCTGCCTCCCTCGTCTGCTTTCAAAAGTAAAAAAAAGAAGATAAAGTAACCGAACAGACATTCACACACACACATCCCCAACCTGTTAAAGAACAGAATAACTTGTGCTTAGTCAGCAATATTCCAGCCAAATCTTGCCTACATGCAGTGAATTATGGCTGGACCAAGCACTCACAGTGAGAATCAGAAACTCTCCCTCGGACCTGACACCACAACTGGATGCCATTAACAAAGTCCACCAGATTTAGTCATCTCTGACAACACATATAGTGTTGGGGAATTTACCCATTAATCAACACAGTAATCTACAGTATGCTTGAGAGGCGAGGTAAATTAGCTTTGTTTTATGACACTTTTAGCAAATGTTCCATAATGGACAATAATTGTGTTACTATTTCCGGCTCAAATACACACGGTTTTCAAAATCATATTCCATCAAATTTCTGGTTTTCTTGTTTAACCAAGTGTAATTTTACTCTTATTTCGTTTAACACTATTGCCACTTTTTTGATAACCCTCAAAAAGAGAGGTAACTGCCTGAGGGCATGCCACTTGAGGCCATGTGCTTGCACAGTAAACAACTTTCAACCACGAGAATGTCAAAAGTAGTGGTGAGCATAATTATTAAGTAACTTTAATCTATCTTTTCATGTAAGTCAGGGTCATTTTTGTGTATCAATTTTGCTTTATTTGGTAATTTTTGTGGCAAGTTGTAAGTTTATGTGAAATTATGTGAATACATGTTTTCATGGCTAAAGGTTAACATTTTCTCAGTGCTTTTGTAGAAGTTTTCATGCTTTTAAAGTTTTATTGTATTTCAAATGTGCTTAGGAGCATATAACAATATTTTGTAGGCCATGTGCTTTTGTCTTTTGAATGAGTTTGGGAAGTGGCAGTACAGCCATTTGCTCCATTTAGCAAGTTAAATTCTGTTTATGGCTTATTATTTCCAAAAACTTATTTAGTTGTTCTACTATTTTCAGTTAATCTACTGTAAAAGGCAACAGGAATATGACTATTAGAATTAGAGTTGGAAATGGATGGACATATTGAACAGATGGACATTGAATAAAGTGATACATACAATACACAAGCATCATGTTGTTCGCAACAAATACAATGCCCAGCAAAACAACTTAGAACTTAAAAGGTAAATAATCTTGTCTAGTGATGTCCAAGATATTTTTATGGATTAAACTTATTTATAATTTCCCTCACGACGTTTTGAGGCGATTCCAGGTCCCTTCATCAGGTGAACTGACACGACGTTTCGAGACCATTCCAGGTCTGGGAATGGCCTCGAAACGTCGTGAGGGAAATTATAAAGAAGTTTAATCCATAAAAATATCTTGGACATCAATGTACAACTTCTAAATGCCACTGAAAGACATTGTCTAGTGATGTTTAATTGCACATTTGACGTCTTTACTGACAAAGTCGTCTTCTGTTGTTTGTTCATGCGAAGTGATACGATGTTGTTTTCTTACCTCTGGAAAAGAGTTTGATGAAAGCGTAACTCATAGATAAGCCAACCCCCTTCTACAGATTTCTTTTTTTGGTCCTCAAAATTCGGCTTATCTATGGTAATATACGGTAGGTGAGTTTTCTGCTGATGTGACACATAGGTTTTAAGAAACTCAAAGCCTGAGAAAATAATGATTCAGGTGTCAGAAGTACAGTGAGACCGAAGATGCTGGAAACGTCTTTGCCAATCGGGTGTATGTTGCTGAACTAATGTATCTCGCTGAACTAATACATCTTGCTGAACACACACTTACACTGTCTCTGGTTGTGCACAACGAGGACGAAGTGGTCTGTATCCAACATGCGGGAGAGCTGACCCAGTGACGTGTCCATGTGGATCTGGAACAGTAGTAACAGTAACCTCCCCTTAAACATGACTTCTACACCTTCATACAACAGTAATCTCCCCTTAAACATGACTTCTACACTTTCATACAACAGTAACCTCCTCTTAAACATGACTTCTACACCTTCATACAACAGTAACCTCCCCTTAAACATGACTTCTACACCTTCATACAACAGTAACCTCCCCTTAAACATGACTTCTAACAACAGTAGCCTCCCCTTAAACATCACTTCTACACCTTTATACAACAGTAACCTCCCCTTAAACATGACTTCTAACAACAGTAACCTCCACTTAAGCATGACTTCTAGCAACAGTAACCTCCCCTTAAGCATGACTTCTAACAACAGTAACCTCCCCTTAAGCATGACTTCTAGCAACAGTAACCTCCCCTTAAGCAATACTTCTAACAACAGTAACCTCCCCTTTAGCATGACTTCTAACAACAGTAACCTCCCCTTAAGCATGACTTCTAACAACAGTAACCTCCCCTTAAGCATGACTTCTAGCAACAGTAACCTCCCCTTAAACATGACTTCTAACAACAGTAACCTCCCCTTAAACATGACTTCTAACAACAGTAACCTCCCCTTAAACATGACTTCTAACAACAGTAACCTCCCCTCAAACACCACTTCTCCACCTCAGTATAACAACAGCAACAGTAACCTCCCTTAAGCATGACTTCTAACAACAGTAACCTCCCCTTAAGCATGACTTCTAACAACAGTAACCTCCCCTTAAGCATGACTTCTAGCAACAGTAACCTCCCTTTAAACATGACTTCTACACCTCAATATAATAATAGCAAACAGTAACCTCCCCTTAAACATGACTCCTTCACATTCATACAACAGTAACCTCCCCTTAAACATGACTTCTTCAAATTCATACGACAGTAACCTCCCCTTACTACAGACATAATGGCTGGAAGAGTCACCTCCCTTCTGTCAAGTGATGAGACGTTTTGTTGATTGATATCAACCAAATACAACAGATACATGTATTCTTGCGAGTGAATCTGGTTTTATATGGTTTCAGGAATATTCCAGTAATATCATTTTAGGGAACACCAGAAATGGGCCTCAAAGATTGTACTCATGGGGGGAATCGAACCAGGCCTTCGGTGTGATGAGCAAATATTTTAACCACTTGGCTAATTGAACACCCCTATGTATACTTTAACAAACACACTCACATGCATGTATATTGTTATATTGTTAGAAATTCTTCCTACCTGCTTGAACTGTTTGTACATGACCTTGGACACGGGGTCATTTGACTTTGCTTTGTTCTTTACCACCTGAGCCATCATGTTGCCAACGGTTACCATTCCCAAGATGCATCTGAAATACACAGACCATCATCTCATTTTATATACGGTGATATAAACTTCAATGGTGATACGGACTTCAATGGTGATGTTGACAAGTAATATTGTATGTATAGGTTGGTCACTTCCTGTTCCCCGGTGATATGGATCTCAACAGTGATATGGACATTGGATTCTATATCACCAGCAGAGGTACCAACGTACTAACACCACATGGGTGATAAACACACTAAAAGTAAAAATGCATAATTGTGAACAAATATATTAGCATCTAGCACTAGATATGAATGCTATGCAAGTTTTAAGATTAGCCTTGAGGCAGAGAAATATGTAATGGATTCGACCTTGTGTAGATTTGCAACCGACTTTGCTTGTGCTCGAGTTGGATGAACAAGGCTAAATATTGATACCGGGGAGACATAATAGAATTGCTAAGTCTGAAAGGGTATGTACGAGGGGGTATCAAAAATTTCTAATTACCACCAAGACGTGTTTAGGGTAGAAACTTTATTTTGATTTCTTGACCTTAAGACTTCTCTACATAGTCACCATCCAGAGTGACACATTTCTCCCAACGTTTCTTGACCTTGTGCAGACCGCTTGAATAGACCCCCCCTGATTTCATGGAAAACCAACCCTCCACCTCTTCAATGACCTCATTGGTATCATTAAAACGGAGTCCTCATCTTGGCTCAACTGTGTGGGACATATGACCAGTTTGAAAATGCCTTGTCCATCTCACAACAGTATAAGATGGTCTATTTTCACCACAAACAGATGTCATCTCCGTGTGAATCTGTCTGGCAGTGCAACCCTTCAAGTGCAAACACTTGATAACACTGTGTGCCTAAATTTTCTCCATACATGGGGTTACTCATGATTTGGATGAACAAACACAAGATTGACTAAAATGATGTAAATAGTTTTTGGTCCATTTACTAGATAAGGATCACTGATGTTACCTTAAAATTTTCATCATAATTTCTAAAAAAATTCATGGCGATAATTAGAACTTTTTTTAGACATGGGGTGATGTATCCTGGATGTTTGTTTATGTTCCCCTCGTCCTTTGGGCTCAGGGAACATAAACAAACATCGAGTGTACATGAACCCATGGGCCCCGAGGGACCAGTGAACAACGTATTTGTCATACCGAACACCTCAATGGTAATTTTGAACTGTTTGAAGCACGGGTATCGGATGATAGTACGGAGTACCAGACGACAAGAAAAACAAATATAGAGTTATCTCCCTTCCACAGTTTGCGTTCACAAAACATCGGTAGTTTTCGTACATCATACGTGATTCAATGTTATTCAAGACAAAGAATTACTACTACGAAGTACCAAATGAGTTCGGCATTCCCAACGGGGTACATAGAAGCTTGTAAGCGGGGTACATTGAAAGTAATAGAAGAGCGCTCAGCCAATCAGAAAACAACATTTATGTGTGAGGTAATTAAGTCATTACGATGAAAAACAATCTGCTGAAATAATAGACAAACCACACCCTAGTGGTATAAATAAACTTATTACCCACATGGTCAACGTATGGGTAGGTGCATACTAATCTCGAGTGTCGTATCGCGTTGACCTGTGTCGTAACGACTTGACCTGAGATTCTAACGATTTGATTAGATAACCGATGACCTCTCAATTAGGTCACATTCTGACGTAAATATTTTTTCATTCATAACAAATACGTGAATTCATTCATTCTACAACTTAAAAGCATTGTGGGAATGTAAACATTGCGAACGTTGCCGTGTCGCTGTTTAATTGTGAGTCGAACTGAGACATTATATCCGAGGAAAATACAAACGCAATGTTTCCGCCAGTGATGTTAGTCGAATGAAGCAGCTGGAAACCAAGAAACGAGATGCTATGGAGTAGTTTAATGTAGGAGGCTGTACGAGGCGATGACAACTGACATGCATCGTGACGTCGGTTACCAAGGGGGCAGACGAGCAAGGCGTAGTGACGATATTACAGTGTGACGTCATGCAAATAGTGTACTACAGAACAACATTCTACCGCAACCTCTAATGAAACCTGTTTCGGTTTGAAACCACAAAAATAACAAAAATACGCTATTTTGTCAATTTAAAGCATGTTAGACGTGGGTAATAAATAAAATACCACACTCGATCTCATAACATACGAATTATACAAAACTTGTGACCTTCCTATGGTTTCTGACCTCGCTTTCGCTCGGTCAGATACCATAGGAAGGACACTCTTTTCGTATAATTATGATGTTACTAGACCTCGTGTAGTATTCTCTATATATCCCGCCTTGTCCCTCACTCACCCAGCCTCATCCACAACAGGGACCTGGTCAAAGCCCTCGCGGTTCAGCAGCTCCAAGGTCTCTTGGATCGTCACGCTGGGTGTCACTGTCAGAGGCGCCTGCAGGTTGAGGGAGCTCACCTTCAAACTCCACCACCTGCAAGGTCAAGGTCAATTTATTTAGTAGGAGAGTTCCTTATTTCACAGACAGAAAATGCTGACTGCAGCAGCCTGAGTGAATGAGTTTGGTTTCACGCCGTTTTCATTAATATTCTAGCAATATCACGGTCGAGGACGCCAGAAATTGGCTTCACACATTGTACCCAAGACGGGAATCGAACTCAGGTTTTCAGTGTGACAAGTGAACGCTTTAATCTCCAGGCTACCCCATCCCCTCTCAGCATCCTGTATATTGCATCATGAATACTGCTGGCCAGACACTCTGCCATACATTGCCAATTCACACACCTAAATAGACTTATCGGTCCTTTCAGCCATATATTTCTTTATTGTCAGAGTGGATCATATTACGCATTTACAAGTTCTGAAAAGAATACACATTTCTTCTGTTTCCTTAATTACAAACCATATTCAAATACAATTCCCCTTGTGCTTAAAGTAAGATTTCTAGACAATCTTATACAATGCATGCTTAACTTCACCTTCACCTTCCACCACTACCCATGCGCATGACCTTGACTTCCAACCTTGACCTTTTCATCCCATCTTGACCTCTAATTTCCAACCAAACCTCAGGCTTAACCCAAAGCACTGTCTGCTGTTACAAATAAAACTAATTATACACTAATAAACAAAGCTTTGATGACCACTACTGTCTTCTGTCGGTTAGTTCTACACTACACAACATGCACATGTAACGAAAACCATTGTGTTGGAAAAGAAAATTATAAGCAACACAGGAGAGAACCCTGACAAACCAGGTATAGCGGAAGGCGCACACAGTTTCAGTACAGTACCCAGACACTGCAACTGACTGACTGACTGACTGAGTTTGGTTTTACGCCGCTTTAAGCAATATTCCAGCAACATCACGGCTGGGGACACCAGAAATGGGCTTCACACATTGTACCCATGTGGGGATTCGAACCCGGGTCTTCGGCGTGACGAGCCAACGCTTTAACCATTAGGCTACCCCACCGCCCCAGACACTGCAACTATCCAAATCTGATGCATGGTGCTCACACCTGCTGAGTCTGTGCAGGAGGGTTTTCAAAACCTTACAATCTTGTGATCAACAGCATGAACATCGATCTATACAACTGGGATACGATGACATGTGTCAACCAAGTCAGTGAACCTGACGACCCAATCCCGTTATTCGCCTCTTACGACAAGCATGGGTTACTGAAGACCAATTCTAACCCGGATCTTCACGGGTTTGTGGATTGGGAGCCTGAACTTCATTTCATGTATCTTGTCACAAATTTGCAAGACTTGGATTTCCTGTGTAGTGAGTGAGTGAGTTTTGTCTTACGCTGCACTCAGCAATATTCCAGCTATATGGCGGCGGTCTGTAAATAATCGAGTCTCGACCAGACAATCCAGTGATCAACAGGATGAGGATCAATCTGCGCAATTGGGAACTGATTACAACCGCTGTGTCAACCAAGTCAGCGAGTCTGACCACCCGATTCCGTTAGTCGCCTCTTATGACAAGCATGGGTTACTGAAGATCAATATTCTAACCCGGACCTTCACGGGTGATTTCCTGAGTAGATCTGTTTACACCTGTGGGGTATACTTGAAACTTATGCCCCTTCTTGTGTTACACAAACTTCCTCTATATACCTTCACAACAACCAAACATCATCCAACACCTCGTGCAATCAATGGCTGACATGTACAGTCCAGTTGGCGGACCGATGAATTGCAATCTAACTCGAAAACTAATAAACATAACATACTCAATGAAGCGGTGATCATAATCAAAACATCATACCCACTCTGTGAGGTTTTTGCAGAATTTTGTCCTAAAATAATAAAGTTGTTTAACAATCTATCATTAAAATATTGACACAGTTCACTATTTGTTACGAGGGAGGAGTGCAGAGAAAGGGACAGCCAGGTGTTCGAGAAGCACGTTCACAGACAAAGTTATTTATTCATTAACCTGTCCTATGCCGTCTCCATCCGTTCTCTAACACCTGGCTGTCCCTTTTCTCTGCACTCCTCCCTCGTAACAAACAGTGAACTGTGTCAATATTTTAATGATAGTTTGTTAAACAACTTTATTATTTTGAGGACAAAAATTCTGCAAAAACCTCACAGAGTGGGTATGATGTTTTGATTATGATCAGCGTTTCATTGAGTATTTTATATTTATTAGTTTTCGAGTTAGATTGCACTTCATCGGTCCGCTTTTGAGCCAAACGGACTATAAGTGTGGTGTGAACAGAAAGAAAACACAAACGTCAAGTCAAAGACAGTGAAGACAAGGTGATAGCAAACAGGTTTAGTTGTACTCAATGAGTGAGGTGAAATGGTGCTGCATGCCATGTTCAAGAGTATTGTACTTACTACATGTGTCTGTGTGTGGCTGCTTGTATTAGTGAGTGAGTGAGTATGGTTTTACGCCACTGTTAGCAATTTTCCAGCAATATCACGGCAGGGAACACCAGAAATGGGTTTTACACATTGTATCCATGTGGGGAATCAAACCTGGCTGCTTGGCATGACACCACTAGGTTTTATGCTTACTCAGCATTATTGCAGCTATTTGACAAAAGTCATGTTGTGATTATGTGGTGAGATGAGTGAGTGAGTGAGTGAATAAGGTTTTATGCCGCTTTGGCAATGTTCTAGCAATATCACGAGAGGGTACACCAGAAATGGGCTTCACACATTGTACCCATGTGGTTAATCGAACCCGGGTCTTCAGTGTGAAGAGCGAACACTTTAAACCACTAGGCTAGACCATCTCCCTTGTGGTGAGATGAGCTAACACTTGGTCCACTAGACTAGTGTAGCGGAAATGAGAAACAGACCGAAGCTTATACCTGTAGGTGCTGCTGAAACAGAGCAGGGATGTCTGTTAAACAATTTCAAGGAAACAAAAATACATCTGAAAAAATCTGAATATATAATACCCATCAAAAGTTTCGACTCGCTAATGTAAATACAGCCACTTCAGTTAACTGTTCTAAACTAGATTTTGCAAAACATTCCATACTGTTTGAAGGTACTGTTTACACATGAACTGATGTATTGTAAAACAAATTCGTAACTTTGAAAATATTATTGTCATGAGTTCAATAAATGATGAAACTATGTGAAACTTAACGGATCCATCTACCTTCAACTCAGGAGTCTTCCCTCACGGAGCAAATAAGTCAAGACAGAAACGGTTCAGTTTGGAACACGATGCAGTGGAAGCGAGAAAACATGCCGTTGTCGGCCAGGAACACTCACCACTCCTTGGAGGGCTCCACCTGGTGGTCTAGTTCCAGGAAGTCTCGCTGGCTCATCCAGTCGTCACTCAGGTACTTGGACCTATTGGAAACAAGACACCAAGCAGTTGTCACTCTGAAGCATACTTTTTCATATTTTGTTTATTTGTTTTTTTACGCCACTCAATACTCCAGCTATATGATGGCGGTTGGTAAATAATTGAGGCTAGACCTGACGATTCAATGATGTCCATTTTGAGCATTGATCTACTGAGTTGGGATACGATGACATGTGAGCCAGGACCCGTGAAGATCCGGGTTAGAATTGATCTTCAGTAAACCATGCTTGTCGTAAGAGGCGACAAAGGGGATCGGGTGGTCAGGCTCTCTGACTTGGTTGACACATGTCATCGTATCCCAATTGCGTAGATCGATGCTAATGCTGTTGATAACTGGATTGTCTGGTTCAGACTCGATTATTTACAGATTGCCGCCATATAGCTGGAATATTGCTGACTGTGGCGTAAAACTAAACTCACTCACTGAGTGAGCTTGACCAATCAGTTGCCTCTTACGACAAACATGGGTTGGTGAAGACCAATTCTAACCGGTTCTCTGAAACATAACAGGGATGTCTTAAGCTGCTGTGGCAGTCACGCATATTTGTGTAACTGTCAACTAAACTATAAACTACACAGTGTATTAGTATTAGTTTTAATATTAGCTTTAGTTATTAGTTTCAGTATTAATATTAGCACTTATTTATTAGTAGATAGTGTATATAGTATTGGTATTATTTACAAGTATTAGTCTCAATATCAGCATTTGATATCAGTTTGCAATATGGGTGTGAAGGATTATAATTAAGACTGACTGACTGACTGAGTTTGGTTTTACGCCGCTTTTAGCAATATTCCAGCAACATCACGGCGGGGGACACCAGAAATGGGCTTCACTCATTGTACCCATGTGGGGATTCGAACCCGGGTCTTTGGCGTGACGAGCCAACGCTTTAACCACTAGGCTACCCCACCGCCCGATTTTAATTAAGACGTGATAGATGATGCAGAGTCTTCTGGTTGAGGGTACCGGTAAGAGTTCCCCCATCCCAAGTAATATTTATAAATTAATATATAATATACTAAAATTATCAACAAAACCTGACACAACAATTACTAGAGAACTCACAAAAATAACTAAAAGCCCCAAAATTCATTACAATATATAGGGTTGAACCACATTGTATGATAAGGGCCTCAGGCTAGGTAATGTTACCCAAAAAATATGGGTGAATGGAAGGAACTCTTTCCGTCAATGAGGCTTTAAAAAGTTTCTATGTCACCCTTCCTAGGAGGGTGAAAACTGGAAAAATTATTACCCACTGCCACGGTAACCGCCAAACTCTCCGTCGAGAAGCTGTATCGCTAACAATCGTATGATGTCATAACATGATGCATGTTGTGCACAGAGTTCGAAAACAGTGCGATTAGTTGTTTTTAAGTTCACTATGTACACATTTGTTTTACCGACTTTCACTGCTTTATTTAAACTATTTTATACATGGCATCATTTGCACACTCAATTTAAACATAATAAACCATTTTCATTGCAGTTTTATGCTTGTCAGAATATGTTTCACAGATTTTAAAAGTCCAGTCGAGAGGCAGACGCCATTTTGTTTACATGTCATAGAGTCGGTAGCGATCTTCAAAATAACATAAAATGATACTTTGTACATTTAACGGTAAAATAAATACGTTGTATGCTTCTACCCCATGTAATACGCGGTCTGATACGGTCTCGCCTACCGGCTTGGGTGACCCTGCTATAAAGAGGCGTACATCAGACTGTATTACCCACGAGAGAAGCATACAACTTATAGTGTAAGAACATCATACTGGTAATGTAAAGTAGTTAGCTTTGAATATTTCCATATTGTAGGTATTTTTCACTGTTGCCATGGCCATGTAGTCGTGGGAGACAATGTGACTATATACAATTAGGCGCACCTATGGATAGAGTTTTACACGCAGTAAGATGTGTGTAGATTTCATATTTTCTATGTCTGGACAACTGTAATTCAGGTTGTTCTATCTTAATTGACAGCATTGTTGCCATGCAATGATACTATATTTACCTTCTTCATTTCATAAAGTAGATGATGTACGTGGTATACATATTTTGATTTGCATGTTAAATGAACTATCATGCTCTGGTTTTATTTATTATCTTACTCAATGTTGTTCTGTATTTCAGGGTGTAAATAATCCAACTATTTACTCGGTCATCAAATAAACTGAATCACACCCGTAGCCGTGTTGTCAAATTTTGGAAAAATATACACTTAATTCTGCTACACTGCTATGTTATGTGCATCACTGAATACTGGAGTAAACATTGGTGCACACACATACATAGCATAAAACGCACATGCATGCACACACATACATATCCCAAGTAGACACACACATGCATGCACGCACATGCACCAGTGCTGGTATTGGCATACAACCTGCGATACAATACATCTTGATACTAAAATTTTAGTCTCGACAATATATTGGTTAAAGTATTGTGAACTTAAGCTGCGATACGATACGAATCCTGATACAAGGGTGGCGATATGATACGTATCACGATACTAAAATCTATAATTCTAACACCAGTTATAAAACACCTTAATATCAAAACAAAAGCAATTTCAAAGTATTTCGTCAAATAATGCAAGCGTTGTTCAATGTTTTTTGGGAAACGAGATAATTAAGTTTATGTGAATGTTGATAACATGTGAGTGCTATGTCTGACACAGTTCTTGACGCAAGAACTTCTGAGGAAACGTTTACTTATGAAGAGAAAACAAGAAAGCATATATTTTAATCATCAAACAAAAGTAAGTCTTTTTTCTTGACAGATATCGTGATTCGGCAATATTCAAAGTTAAACATAGATGTATCGTGACCCATCTGAAGTATGGTATCGGGATATACGACAATGTTAAACTTTGTATCGATTCACAGTATCGGCGGCTCATGGATCAATGCATCGATGTGTATCGATGAGTCGTCACCTCACTAACACGCACGCACGTACATTTTACACAAACTGAATCAGGCACATGCACACTGAAACAGACATTCTCAGACACACTGACACGCAGACACAGGCAGACAGCCTTACACGATGCAAGCCTTACATATAGTTCCTGATGGAGTCCGGGAGGATGACCACACATCTCTGACCTTCCTTTAGGCCGAAGTCTCGGATGGCCTTTACTGCACACGCCATGGCTGACCCTGAACTGCCTCCTGCAAGGTCAAGGTCACATACTTCACAAGTGAGTGAGTTTAGTTTTATGGAGCACTCAGCAATATTGCAGCTATATGGCAGCTGTAAATAATCGGGTCTGGACCGGCCAAATCCAGTGATCAACATCATGAGCATCGATTAGGAACCGATGACATGTGTCAACCAAGTCAGCGAGCCTGTCCACCCGATCCTGTTAGTCGCCTCTTATGACAAGCACAGGTTGCGGAAGATCAATTCTAACCCGGATCTTCACGGGTCACTTAACAAGAGTAGGTCAAGAATTCCATGTTGTCTTTTCTGTGTTCTGATTTCCCAGTTTTTTTTTAAATAATGTAATTCTAACAGTCCCATCAGGTCATTGTCATGACTTGAGCAAATATTGCTAGGATGGTCTTTTTACCATCCACCCATCTGAACCCTGTCCTCAATGCACTCATGCCAAACAGTCATTTTCCAATTTGGGTGATGGTGATTTATACGGGGAAGCATGCACAAGGTGAATAAAAAAATATGTACAATGTAAGTGTACACCCCCCCCACCCCAGTCCCCCACTAACGTATCCATCTGCCATCAACTCACCACAAAGTAATCCCCTAATAACGTATCCATCTGCCATCAACTCACCACAAAGTAATCCCCCACTAACGTATCCATCTGCCATCAACTCACCACAAAGTAGTCCCCCACTAACGTATCCATCCACCATCAACTCACCACAAAATAATGCCCCACTAACGTATCCATCTGCCATCAACTCACCACAAAGTAATGCCCCACTAACGTATCCATCTGCCATCAACTCACCACAAAGTAGTCCCCCACTAACGTATCCATCTGCCATCAACTCACCACAAAGTAGTCCCCCACTAACGTATCCATCTGCCATCAACTCACCACAAAGTAATGCCCCACTAACGTATCCATCTGCTATCAACTCACCACAAAGTAGTCCCCCACTAACGTATCCATCTGCCATCAACTCACCACAAAATAATGCCCCACTAACGTATCCCATCTGCCATCAACTCACCACAAAGTATAATGCCCCACTAACGTTATCCATCTGCCATCAACTCACCACAAAGTAATCCCCACTAACGATTATCCATCTGCTATCAACTCACCACAAAGTAATCCCCACTAATTATCCATCTGCTATCAACTCACCACAAAGTAATCCCCCACTAACGTATCCATCTGCCATCAACTCACCACAAAGTAATCCCCTAATAACGTATCCATCTGCCATCAACTCACCACAAAGTAATCCCCCACTAACGTATCCATCTGCTATCAACTCACCACAAAGTAATCCCCTAATAAAGTATCCATCTGCCATCAACTCACCACAAAGTAATCCCCTAATAACGTATCCATCTGCCATCAACTCACCACAAAGTAATCCCCCACTAACGTATCCATCTGCTATCAACTCACCACAAAGTAATCCCCACTAACGCCATCTGCCATCCATCTGCCCCTACTATCAACTCACTCACAAAGTAATCCCCACTAACGTGTATCCATCCACCATCAACTCACCACAAGTAATCCCCACTAACGCCATCTGCCATAAACTCACAACCACCATCAACTCACCACAAAGTAATGCCCCACTAATGTATCCATCTCACCATCAACTCACCACCAAAAGTAGTCCCCAATAACGATATACATCCACCATCAACTAACCACAAAGTAGTCCCCCACTAACGTATTCATCCGCCATCAACTCACTACAAAGTAATGCCCCACTAACGTATCCATCTGCTATCAACTCACCACAAAGTAGTCCCCCACTAACGTATCCATCTGCCATCAACTCACCACAAAGTAGTCCCCACTTCCATCGGATCATCCTAGTCCCTCTTCACGGATCATCCTTCGCGCCATGATAAAGGAGTCCTTGTCCACAGACTTGTACCACTTGTCTACAAACTGAAACAGTTCAACACAACTCACAACCAAGGACAAACAATCCATGGACACGACGCAATATCAAAATAAAGGATGCACAGGTTTTTCAGCCAATCAGATGTCAGCTTTCTAAAATAATATGAAGGTAAATAATCAAAATTTGAATGAAACTGGAAATGTTTAAGTTGAGTAATATTTTCAAGACCGTTGTCTGGAAACAACAATTTTGTTTGTACCAACCTTCCTCTCGCAGACTGTTGGCAGGAAGTCGTAGCCGATGCCCTCCACCTCATAGAATGTTTTGTCCGTTTTGTTTAGCTCCTCCGGCTCAGCGATAATGGAGCCCTCAGGATCCACACCAATGATCTGAATAAAATAAAAGTCACCTAAGACACTGAACGCAACCAGAAAACAGCAATATCACTGTCCCCTGCCCTGGTCTAAACATTAGAGTGAATAAGTGAGTTTTACGCCACACTCGGCAGTATTCCAGCTATATGTAGGCGGTCTGTAAAGAATGGAGTCGGACAATCCAGTGATCAACAGCACAAGCATCGATCTACGCAATTGGGAACCAATGACATCTGTCAAGTAAGTAAGCGAGCCTGACAACTTGATCTCGTTAGTCGCCTCTTACAACAAGCATGTGTTACTGAAGATCAATTCTTACCCGGATCTTCACGGGTCTCTGCACATTAGAATTAGGATTGTTCATATAGTAAAGAACAATATGGAAGTATTAACTTTTACTATAAAGCTGAAGTCATATAACAGCTTCATATCAGGCCTAATGAAGAGATAGGAGTCCCATTATGTTCTCAGAAACATTGATTAAAAGTGAAAGAAATACCCACAAAAGGTCTGGAAAGAAATCCTTATGACACCAATTTTTTAACTTAATCAGGAGTAACGTCATTTAAACCTTCGGGACGGTGGGGTAGCCCAGTGGTTAAAGCATCTGCTCAATATGTCGAAGGCTCGGGTTCGATTCTACATGTTGTTACAATGTGTGAAGCCCATTTCCGGTGTCCCACGTCTTGATATTGCTGGAATATTGCTGAAAACGGCGTAAAACCCAACTCCCTCACTCAGTCTAAACCTTCATATAACTTCAGTAGATTATGAGACTTGCCCCAATTGGGGTAAAATACTCTCAGTAAAATGACATTGATCAATGGACATAACCCTGTATGCCAAGATAAAAAACCAGTAACAAAATATTTTATGGCACGACTTTTTTAAGTCTTGATAAGCATCTCCTAGATAAGATTGCAAAGTTTCATTCACGTAACTTCAGTAGTCTCTGAAAACTAAAGGACTATTCCATTGTTACATGGCTGGGAGTGGGTTAGAGCTTTTAGATTGCCACTTACGTACTCAAACTAATGACCAAGTGCTTGTCAACCACTCACTCTCACCTTACAGTTGGGTCACCTCTCAATCTTCCTAGCCACACCTGTCAATGTGTCCCCCTGTTCCCTCACGATCCAGCACTCACTCACTCAACTCTCACCTCTACCTTCACTTCAGTAGGGTCCCCTCTCAATCTTCCTAGCCACACCAAGGTCAATGTGCCCCCTGTTCCACTCCTAGATATCCAGCACTCACTCACACACTCTCACCTTACAGTTGGGTCACCTCTCAATCTTCCTAGCCACACCTGTCAATGTGCCCCCTGTTCCACGACCTAGCACTCACTCACCTTACAGTTAGGGCACCTCTCCTTAATCTTCCTGGCCACACCTGTCAATGTGCCCCCTGTTCCAGCACCAAGCACCAGCATGTCCAGCTTGTCTGAAACAAGAAAGAGTGGCTTCAATATTTCACATCCATCCGACAGTTACAACTATTAAATTGGTTTATACAAATATAGTTCTCGATACTCCTAAACAAAGATCTTATTAGAACAAATACAGCCCCAAGAGTCACATATTACAACATAAATGCACCATGCTTCCCATATCACGACATAAACACCCCAAGATTCACACATTATGGCACAAATGCCCCATGATTCACATATCACACCATAATGCCCCAATGATTCACATATTATGGCATAAACACAGAGATGCCAACAGTGAATCAAATGAAATCGGAGTTCTGCCTTGCTAAAAGCAATTCCCGTGTCCTGAAGGTGCGAGTTTGGGGTGAGCGTGAGAGGGGCTCGGCCCCTTTGACGGTAGTGGGTCTGTGGGGCCTCCCTATGAAAATCTTTATATTTAGTCTGGAAATATGCAATTTCTGGGCATACTTAATCAGATGATACTTAACTCAAATGAACAAATTTAAATGGCTATTTACTAAAATTCTTTCAAACATTCTAAATTTATAAACATATTTGTATTTTCTAAAAGCTGGAGATTTTAATAGACAAATCGAGATTTTGTATTTGAAAATCGGAGTAACTCCTCTAAAATCGGAGAGATTGCCATCTCTGTAAACACCCCAGGATTCACATATCATTTCCAGATATGCCCCACAATTCACATACTGCAGCAGAAACTCCCCAAGATTCATATATTACACCATTAACACTCCAAGATTCAAATACAATCTCATAAATACATAAAAGACAAATACAGTTTAGGTGTGTGTGTGGATGGATGTGTGTGTGGATGGATGTGTGTGTGATGGATGTGTGTGTGGATGGATGTGTGTGTGTGTGTGAGAGAAAGAGAGAGAGAGAGAGAGAGAGAGAGAGAGAGTGTGGGTGTGGGTGGGTGTGTGTGTGAGTGAGTGAGTGGTTGAAGGAGATGGGTTTCACAATATTCCAGTAATATCATGATGTACCAGCTGATTGTGTGGGTAGAGCCTGGAGTGATACAGGTCTCAGATATTTACCACTTTGTTGGAACTCACAAGAACACACATGGTGCTGACAGACCTAGAAACAAGTGTCATGCTTCAGTGGAGAATGATAAAAGTTATTCCATGACCAGGAGGAGTTAAGAGAGGTGCCACAACTGTGAGTGAGTGAGTTTATTTTTACGTTGCACTCAGCAATATTCCAGCTATATGGTGGTGGTCTGTAAATAATCGAGTCTGGACCAGGCAATCCAGTGATCAACATCATGAGCCTCGATCTGCGCAATTGCGATCACGATGACATGTGTCAACCAAGTCAGCGAGCAAGGCCACCGTATCCATTAATCGCTTCTTACGACAAACATGTGGGTTGCTGGACACCAAGTTTAACCAGGCAATTTTGGAACAAACTTGTGAAACTTTGCTGAAAACTGGTCAGTGAAGTCCACTGCACAAGACCCGTGAAGGTCCGGGTTAGAATATTGATCTTCAGTAACCCATGCTTGTCGTAAGAGGCTGACTAAACGGGATTGGGTGGTCAGGCTCGCTGACTTGGTTGACACATAGCATCCGTGATTGCACAGATCAATGCTCATGCTGTTGATTACTGGATTGTCTTGTCCGACTCGATTAATTACAGACTGCCACCATATAGCTGGAAGATTGCTGAGTGCGGCGTAAAAGCACACACACACGCACGCCACAAGACTCCGCACGACGACGCGACGCCTTGCGATCGCGACGCATACGCACACACACACACACACACTATTGCATAAAGCCAAAGCATAAGTTATTAATTCAATTTTAAAACAGAAGTTTGCTGCAGACTTGGTGCTGAGTATCTGCTTCTCAACAACCCTTGATAAAATCCGTGAAAGTGTGATACGATGTAATGTGTCAACCAAACCAGCTGACCCCGTTAGTCACCTCTTATGACAAGCATATGTTACTGAAGATTAATTCTAACCTGGATCTTCATGGATGGAGACAAGCATGGGTTACTGGAGATTAATTCTAACCCGGATCTTCACAGGTGGAGACAAGCATGGATTACTGAAGATTTTAATTCTAAACCAAGATTTTCACGGGTGGAGACAAGCATGGGTTACTGAAGATTAATTCTAACCCGGATCTTCACGGGTAGAGACAAGCATGGGTAACTGAAGATTAATTCTAACCCGGATCTTCATGGATGGATACAAGCATGGGTTACTGAAGATTAATTCTAACCTGGATCTTCACGGGTGGAGACAAGCATGGGTTACTGAAGATTAATTCTAACCTGGATCTTCATGGGTGGAGACAAGCATGGGTTACTGAAGATTAATTCTACCCAGATCTTCACGTGTGGAGACAAGCATGGGTTATTGAAGATTAATTCTAACCCGGATCTTCACAGGTGGAGACAAGCATGGGTTACTGAAGATTAATTCTAACCCGGATCTTCACGGGTGGAGACAAGCATGGGTTCTTGATACCCCTAAACAAAGATCTTATTAGAACAAATACAGCCCCAAGAGTCACATACTGAAGATTAGTTCTAACCCAGATCTTCACGGGTTGAGACAAGCATGGGTTACTGGAGATTAATTCTAACCTGGATCTTCACTGGTGGAGACAAGCATGGGTTACTGAAGATTAATTCTAACCTGGATCTTCACGGGTGGGAGACAAGCATGGGTTACTGAAGATTAATTCTAAACAAGATTTTCACGGTTGAGACAAGCATGGGTTATTGAAGATTAATTCTAACCCGGATCTTCACGGGTGGAGACAAGCATGGGTTACTAAAGATTAATTCTAAACAAGATTTTCATGGGTGGAGACAAGCATGGGTTACTGGAGATTAATTCTAACCCGGATCTTCACGGGTGGAGACAAGCATGGGTTACTGAAGATTAATTCTAACCTGGATCTTCACGGGTGGAGACAAGCATGGGTTACTGAAGATTAATTCTAACCTGGATCTTCAATGGTGTGGAGACAAGCATGGGTTACTGAAGATTAATTCTAAACAAGATTTTCACGGTTGAGACAAGCATGGGTTATTGAAGATTAATTCTAACCCGGATCTTCACGAGGTGGGGAGACAAGCATGGGTTACTAAAGATTAATTCTAAACAAGATTTTCACGGGTGGAGACAAGCATGGGTTACTGGAGATTAATTCTAACCGGATCTTCACGGGTGGAGACAAGCATGGGTTACTGAAGATTAATTCTAACCTGGATCTTCAATGGGTGGAGACAAGCATGGGTTACTGAAGATCAATACATGAAAATTCAATTGAATGTATCTCACCGTCACATGATTTGAGGATTTCTTCAGCGGTTCCATCATAATGGGCCAGAGGATTGCTAGCATTCCGGTACTGTAACACAGCAACAATATTTTATTACATGGGAGCTTTGGGCAGGAGTCAACCTTTTACAAAAATGGGAATACTGGGAACCCCCAGACTGGAAATAGGATCGACTTGATAAGTACGAAAATAGTGTACGGTACTGAACTGTAAAATTTGATTATAATTTTGAAAAGGTATGAAAACAACAAGATTGATTCTTTGTTGTTTAACGCTGCACTGAGCAATATTCCAGCAATATTCCAGCAGTATTCCAGCAATATTCCAGCAATATGGCTGCAGTCTGTAATAAGCGAGTCTGGATCAGGCAATCCAGTGATCAACATTGGCATACAATGACATGTGTCAACAAAGTCCCCAGCCTGACCACCCAATCCTGTTATTTGCCTTTTACAACAAGCATGGGTTACTGAAGGGCAATCTAACCCGGATCTTCAGAAATGGGCTTCACACACTGTACCCATGTGGGGAATCAAACCTGGGTCTTCGGCATGACGGGTGAACGCTTTAACCACTAGGCTACCTCACCACCCCTCTCCCAACCCAGAAGGTAGTTTAAGTACTGTGTGATGATTTTGGAGTGATAAATAATCCTTGTACCTGTATATTCCTGCAATATCATGAGTGAAATGTGCTTCAAACCTAGCATTTTAAGCGTGGAAAGTGAACGCTTTCACCATATGGTTGCCCACCCTCCCATCCCACAAGGTATAGTATTAAATACTACATGGTGATTTTGGAGTGAGGAATAATTCCCTAGATCTTTGTACCTATTCCTGCAATATCATGAGCGAAATGGGCTTCGAACCTAGCTCTTCAAGCGTGACAAGCGAACTCTTTCACCACTTAGCAACCCCTAACCCACCAACCAGGTTCAGTATTAAATAATGTATGATGATTTCGGAACGATAAATAATCCCCTAGATTCCTGCAATATCACGGGAAGTGACACCAGAAATGGGGATTGAACCCTGATCTTCAGTGCCATGAGCGAGGCTACCCCTTACCCTCCTAACCCACAAGGTAAAGCACTATATAGTATTTGGTGATTTCAGAGAGATCAATAATCCCTCAGATCCTTGTACCTGATCCAGAATGTGGGAGTTGGGGATCTCCTCCATCAGTCTCCGTGCCACACCGATGTGGGACTCGGGGGAGTCGAAGGCAGCGGTGGTCGGGGTCCGAACAATCTCAGCACCCAATGCCCGCAACACGTCCACCTGCACACATGAACAAACGTAAAACATACAGGAATAACAAAGACAGTGTTACTTTGTAATCAGATGATTGAGATGGTTGCAGATGATTCTCCATGCTCTGTATCTACTAGTATCTACATATCGGTGCATAGTATAAGTTGTATGCTTCTCTCAAGGGTAATACGCTCTGATGTACGCATCTTTGAAGCAGTGTCATTCGAGCCGGTAGGCAAGGGATAACACTGCTACAAAGATCTTTGATGTACCAGGATGCTACACGAGACCGTATTACCCAGGGAGAAGTTTACACCATATTTATCTTCCCGCCATGTTAAATGTACAAAATATAATTTTATTTTATTTTGACGATCGATAAGTTCGCTACCAACTATATGACGCATAAACAAAATGGCGTCTGCCTCTCGACTGGATTTTTAATAACAGTGAAACATATTCTGACAAGCTTAATTCTGCTACAGACATGTTTAATTATGTTTTAGGTGAGTCTGCAAACGATGGAATTTATAAAATAGCTTAAACAAATCATGAAAGTCGGTAAAACAAATGTGTAGATAGTGAACTCAAAAACAACGACCGAACGGTTTTGAATATGATTATTAGCGATACAGCTTTGCGGCGGAGATTTTGGCGGTTACCTTAGCAGCAGGTAATATTTTTTCCAGCTGTCCCAGACGGACACTTGTTAAAGCGCCATTGACCAATGAAATTAAAGCATTGAAGGTAAGATAACTACATATATCACCTTCTCCATGCTCTGTATCTACATGTCAGTGTATAACTACATATATCACCTTCTCCATGCCCTGTATCTACATGTCAGTGTATAACTACATATATCACCTTCTCCATGCTCTGTATCTACATGTCAGTGTATAACTACATATATCACCTTCTCCATGCTCTGTATCTACATCCCATGCATCACAATGATACAGCGGTATCCCTTCACTGCCAGTGTATAACTACATATGGACTGCCAGGGCTACATATACCAATACCTGCGAGAAGAACAAGCACTCAGTTGGAACCTACAGCTGTGTCTATTGGACAATGGCTATTTTCTGTACTTTAGGACTGACCTAGGTTTCCTTCCTTTTCATGGTAACCAGTTTTCATTGAAGACTCAGCACATTTATTTCAAGAACCATGCTGTGAAATAAGGATTTTGAAAGCTTAGGTTTTTATTGTATATGTCATGCTTGTTTGTGTACACCAATACTTATCAGTGCCATAATGAAACAACTGTGCCAGCAACACTTTCGTTGAGCATAATATCAAACCCTTGACTTGGGTTATACTGAGAAGCATGTCACAGAGTGATCTCTATTGTTGTGATTGGGTGACAGTTTCTCAGTGGCTACAATGGGAGACCACTGACTGACCTACCTGTGTTTCTAGAAGTGGGCCTCTTTGTTTGATTGGGTGACAGTTGTCAGTGACAACCACAGATGACCTCCATGTCACTGACTGACCTACCTGTGTTTCCAGAAGTTGTTCCTTTGTTTTCATTGGGAATGACAGTTGTCAATGGAGACCACTGATTCACCCAATGGCATTTCCAGAAGTGAGTTCCTTTGTTTTAATTTTATTGGCCGATAACAGTTGTCAGTTGACCAGAGATGAGCTCCATGGTACTGCTAGACCTACCTGTGTTTCAAGAAGTGGTTTCTTTTGGTTTGATACGGTCACAGTTGTCAGTGGTGAATAACAGATATACCTACCTGTGTTTCCAGAAGTGGTTTCCTTTGGTTTGATACGGTCACAGTTGTCAGTGGTGAATAACAGTATATACCTACCTAGGTCTGTTTCCAGTTAACCCGTTTTCATTGGACTTTGCTTTGGTTTGATACAGCCACAGTTGTCAGTGGTGAATAACAGACATACCTACCTGTGTTTCCAGAAGAGGTTTGATACACTGCCACAATAACAGTTGTCAGTGGTGAATAAATAGATATACCTACCTGTGTTTCCAGAAGTGGTTTGATACAGCCACAGTTGTCAGTGGTGAATAACAGATATACCTACCTGTGTTTCCAGGAGTGGTTTCCTTTGGTTTGATACGGTCACAGTTGTCAGTGGTGAATAACAGATATACCTACCTGTGTTTCCAGAAGTGGTTTGATACAGCCACAGTTGTCAGTGGTGAATAACAGATATACCTACCTGTGTTTCCAGAAGTGGTTTGCTTTGGTTTGATACAGCCACAGTTGTCAGTGGTGAATAACAGATATACCTACCTCTGTTTCCAGAAGTGGTTTGCTTTGGTTTTGGGTGATACAGCCACAGTTGTCAGTGGTGAATAACAGACATACCTACCTGTGTTTCCAGAAGTGGTTTGATACAGCCACAGTTGTCAGTGATGAATAACAGATATACCTACCTGTGTTTCCAGAAGTGGTTTCCTTTGGTTTGATACGGTCACAGTTGTCAGTGGTGAATAACAGATATACCTACCTGTGTTTCCAGAAGTGGTTTCCTTTGGTTTGATACGGTCACAGTTGTCAGTGGTGAATAACAGATATACCTACCTGTGTTTCCAGAAGTGGGTTTGATACAGCCACAGTTGTCAGTGGTGAATAACAGATATATACCTACCTGTGTTTACAGAAGTGTTTTCCTTTGGTTTGATACAGCCACAGTTGTCAGTGGTGAATAACAGATATACCTACCTGTGTTTCCAGAAGTGGGTTCTATGAGGACATCACCCGGTTTCAGATGTCCCTTCTCCTCGGCGTCCAAGATCATCCGCAGACCAATCCTGTCCTTCACACTCCCACCAGCATTGAAGAACTCGCACTTGACCACTGCACACAAACAAAAATATAACTGTGCTGATGTTCTGATTGTTCCATATCGTGAAACATATATGATCCATCAAACGTTAAGATTCACTTAAAGCACTCACTGTATGCTATGTAGTGGTGGTCCGATTAATTGAAATAATCGAAGATTGGTCGCAGTGGCCAAACGACCAAGCAATCGATCACATTTTCTCATAATCGAACACAAACGATTTTGGACCCGCTGTAATAGAGTTTGAAATACTTGATGATGGAACATATCTAGGACGTTGTCAGGGCCTGAAAACGTGTTTATTTCTAAGAAAACTCACTTCACTCTCTGAAAAGTCATGACTGAATATTTCTTGAAGAATCTGGGAAGTTAATGTTACACTGGAACTGAATCATTTTACACTGGATGTGAAATCTGCAAATGTAATTTGTGCAGTTTCTAAAAACAACAACATAGAATCAAATGTCTTGTTTCTTTATACTTAACTGCAACTACAACCTGAATAGGAAAATCTAAAAAAATGACGCTAACCAATTTTTTTTCGATGATTGGTCGTTGGTATTGAGCCAATCATCAATTGTGAGATTTCAACCAATTCGAAACACTAATGCAATGTATATCTATTTGGCTACTTCGAAGGTCAATTTCTCCACTAACGTGGGGTAACCAACTTCAAACCTTATGCAGATGAATTGCACGAGGTTTCATGCATCAAATTGCCGAAAAGCATGTGAAAATATCGTGCATATGAACAGCTGCATGCTGGTGTACAGTTTTGATAAGAATTCGCCAATTTTCACTGAGTTTCATCATTTATTGAATTCGTGATAATAATGTTTTCAACGTTACGCATTTGTTTTACAATATGTCAGTTCATGTGTAAACAGTACCTTTAAACAGTATGGAATATTTTGCGAAATCTATTTCAGAAGTACTGACTGAAGTAAGTGGCTACATTTATACTACTGAGTCTAAACTTTTGGTGGGTAGTATATTTATTTCTCAGAAAAATGTGAGCTGGATAATATAGTGCTGAACTCCACGCCATAGAGACATGCTCTAAACGCATACAACATGATAGACATTATTACTCCAGATAACCTAAGCTGGCTGTGAGGCACTAGAAGGTAAATACTTCACATGACTTATCCCACCGGGTACCCATTTTCTGCTGAACTCCACGCCATAGAGACATGCTCTAAACGCATACAACATGATGGACATTATTACTCCAGATAACCTAAGCTGGCTGTGAGGCACTAGAAGGTAAATACTTCACATGACTTATCCCACCGGGTACCCATTTTCTGCTGAACTCCACGCCATAGAGACATGCTCTAATTAACGCATACAACATGATGGACATTATTACTCCAGATAACCTAAGCTGGCTGTGAGGCACTAGAAGGTAAATACTTCACATGACTTATCCCACCGGGTATCCATTTTCTGCTGAACTCCACGCCATAGAGACATGCTCTAAACGCATACAACATGATGGACATTATTACTCCAGATAACCTAAGCTGGCTGTGAGGCACTAGAAGGTAAAAATTCATATGACTTATCCCACCGGGTACCCATTTTCTGCTGAACTCCACGCCATAGAGACATGCTCTAAACGCATACAACATGATGGACATTATTACTCCAGATAACCTAAGCTGGCTGTGAGGCACTAGAAGGTAAATACTTCACATGACTTATCCCACCGGGTACCCATTTTCTGCTGAACTCCACGCCATAGAGACATGCTCTAAACGCGCCACAACATGATGGACATTATTACTCCAGATAACCTAAGCTGGCTGTGAGGCACTACAGGGTAAATACTTCACATGACTTATCCCACGGGTACCCATTTTCTGCTGAACTCCACGCCATAGAGACATGCTCTAAGCGCATACAACATGATGGACATTATTACTCCAGATAACCTAAGCTGGCTGTGAGGCACTAGAAGGTAAATACTTCACATGACATCCCACCGGGTACCCATTTTCTGCTGAACTCCACGCCATAGAGACATGCTCTAAATGCATACAACATGATGGACATTATTACTCCAGATAACCTAAGCTGGCTGTGAGGCACTAGAAGGTAAATACTTCACATGACTTATCCCACCGGGTACCCATTTTCTGCTGAACTCCACGCCATAGAGACATGCTCTAAACGCATACAACATGATAGACATTATTACTCCAGATAACCTAAGCTGGCTGTGAGGCACTACAGGGTAAATACTTCACATGACTTATCCCACCGGGTACCCATTTTCTGCTGAACTCCACGCCATAGCGACATGTTCTAAACGCATACAACATGATGGACATTATTACTCCAGATAACCTAAGCTGGCTGTGAGGCACTAGAAGGTAAATACTTCACATGACTTATCCCACCGGGTACCCATTTTCTGCTGAACTCCACGCCATAGAGACATGCTCTAAACGCATACAACATGATGGACATTATTACTCCAGATAACCTAAGCTGGCTGTGAGGCACTAGAAGGTAAATACTTCACATGACTTATCCAACCGGTACCCATTTTCCGGCTGAACTCCACACCATAGAGACATGCTCTAAACGCATACAACATGATAGACATTATTACTCCAGATAACCTAAGCTGGCTGTGAGGCACTAGAAGGTAAATACTTCACATGACTTATCCCACCGGGTACCCATTTTCTGCTGAACTCCGCCATAGAGACATGCTCTAAGCGCATACAACATGATGGACATTATTACTCCAGATAACCTAAGCTGGCTGTGAGGCACTACAGGGTAAATACTTCACATGACTTATCCCACCGGGTACCCGTTTTCAGCTGAACTCCACACCATAGAGACATGCTCTAAACGATACAACATGATAGACATTATTACTCCAGATAACCTAAGCTGGCTGTGAGGGCACTAGAAGGTAAATACTTCACATGACTTATCCCACCGGTACCCATTTTCAGCTGAACTCCACACCATAGAGACATGCTCTAAGCGCGCTACAACATGATAGACATTATTACTCCAGATAACCTAAGCTGGCTGTGAGGCACTAGAAGGTAAATACTTCACATGACTTATCCCACCGGGTACCCATTTTCTGCTGAACTCCACGCCATAGAGACATGCTCTAAACGCATACAACATGATGGACATTATTACTCCAGATAACCTAAGCTGGCTGTGAGGCACTAGAAGGTAAATACTTCACATGACTTATCCCACCGGGTACCCATTTTCTGCTGAACTCCACGCCATAGAGACATGTTCTAAACGCATACAACATGATAGACATTATTACTCCAGATAACCTAAGCTGGCTGTGAGGCACTAGAAGGTAAATACTTCACATGACTTATCCCACTGGGTACCCATTTTCTGCTGAACAAAGGCAAGTTTGAACAAAGTCACTTGCCTTAGGTGAGACCACATGTGTGCTTAGTTGTGGGGTAGGACAAAACTTCAAGAAACTCTCAGGAGTCAAGGTGCCAAACATGGTCACCCATCTAAAGACTCTCCGTGCCCAAAGTTGCTTAACTTCACCTGATTTGTGACTTGAGCTCTATGCACAAGAACACACACCACCACAAATTGGATTGGTAAACAAGTTATAGCTTACCGGTATGCTATAACTATTTCAGATTACAAAGGATAACCATGAACATCCCTGATGAACTTAAGCTGTCTCCAACCCTTGAAAACTTTAAGCGTCATCTCAAAACCTTTCTCTACAAAAAGTTCTATGGACTTCAATACTGCCTTATTGATCGTTAGCGCGATGAGCATAGCTGGTGTGGAGTTTGGCGCTATATAAATAGACTCATTATTATTATCATTATGAGTGAGTAAGTGAGTGAGTTTAGTTTTACGCCGCACTCAGCAATATTCCAGCCATATGGTGGGGGGGTGTAAATAATCGAGTCTGGACCAGACAATCCAGTGATCAACAGCATGACCATCGATCTGCGCAATTGGGAACCGATGACATGTGTCAACCAAGTCAGCGAGCCTGACCACCCGATCCCGTTAGTTGCCTTTTACGACAAGCATAGTTGCCTTTTGTGGCAAGCATGGGTTGCTGAAGACCTATTCTACCCCATTATCATTATGATATGGCAGGAGTCTATAAATCGTGTCTGGGACAGAAACAACAGTGATCATTATGATCATGATTCCATGCAATTGGGATACGATGACATGTGGCAACAAAGTCACCAAGCCTGATCCCCCGATCCGACCCTTGATAAAACCCTGGGTAGTGGAACAATTTTCTGAACAATTTTTCCACTTCAATTTATAAATTCCCAGATTGGATTATTTTCTGCGAATTTGGGGAGTATCTGTTTCTGAAAAATCTTTGATAAAACCCTCTGGTGAAAAGTCTTTTTTCTGGTACCATTTTCCACTTCTCATGCGGGGTATTCAGTGTGTGGTATCAGTGTTGAATGGGTGAATGAGTGGGTATAGTTTTAGGCTCCTTTTAACAACATTCAAGCAATATCACAGCGGGGGACTCTAGAAATGGGCTTCACACACGGGGAATCAAACACGGGTCTTCGGCGTGACGAGCAGACGCTATAACCACTAGGCTACCCCTCTGCCCTATCAGTGTTGAAGGTTATTGTACATGTCACTCACAGAGCTCACACTTGATGTCATCCTTCTTGGTGATGCGGTTGACCCTGACAAGCGGCGTCTGTCCGATGTTGTCCAAGATTGTGTCCATTATCTTGGGCTTGTCAACACTGAAAAAAACAATATGTCTTTGACATTGTCCACTCAAACCTTGGCCTCGGCACTGTTTGAGTGACAACATATTGTTTCATTGATTCAACTGTGAGATTATGAATTTAGCATATCACACATACACACCCAGGGTGGAAAAACACTCCAAACACATCCAGGATATAAGAACACTCCATACATACCCAGGATGGAAGAACACTTCATACACACCCAGGGTGGAATAGCGCTCCATACACACCAAGGGTACAAGAACACTCCATACACACCCAGGGTATAATAACACACCATGCACACCCAGGGTATAACCTCCATACACACCAGGATATAAGAACACTCCATACACACCAAGGGTATAATAAAACTCCATACACACCAAGGGTATAACACACCATACACACCAAGGGTAATAACACACCATACACACCCAGGGTATAAGAACACTCCATACACACCCAGGATATAATAACACTCCATACACACCAAGGATATAATAACACTCCATACACACCAAGGATATAAGAACACTCCATACACACCCAGGGTAGAATAACCGCCATACACACCCAGGGTATAAGAACACTCCATACACACCCAAGGGTATAATAACAGTCCATACACACCCAGGGTATAATAACACTCCATACACACCCAGGGTAGAATAACCTCCATACACACCAAGGGTATAATAACACTCCATACACACCCAGGGTATAATAACACTCCATACACACCCAGGATATAATAACACTCCATACACACCAAAGGATATAAGAACACTCCATACACACCAAGGGTATAATAACACTCCATACACACCAGGGTATAATAACACTCCATACACACCCAGGGGTATAATAACACTCCATACACACCAGGGTATAATAACACTCCATACACACCAGGGGTATAATAACACACCATACACACCCAGGGTATAATAACTCTCCATACACACCAAGGGTATAAGAACACTCCATACACACCCAGGGTGGAATAACCGCTCCATACACACCAGGGTATAATAACACTCCATACACACCCAGGGTATGACAACTCCATACACACCAAGGGTATAATAACACTCCATACACACCCAGGGTAGAATAACACTCCATACACACCAAGGGTATAATAACACTCTCCATACACACCCAGGGTATAATAACACTCCAGCATACACACCCAGGGTATAATAACAGTCCATACACACCAAGGGTATAATAACACTCCATACACACCCAGGGTATAATAACACAGCATACACACCCAGGGTATAATAACACTCCATACACACCAAGGGTATAATAACACAGCATACACACCCAGGGTATAATAACACTCCATACACACCCAGGGTGGAATAACAGTCCATACACACCCAGGATATAATAACACTCCATACACACCCAGGATATAATAACAGTCCATACACACCCAGGTATAATAACACTCCATACACACCCAGGGTATAATAACAGTCCATACACACCCAGGGTATAATAACACTCCATACACACCCAGGGTATAATAACCACCATGACAAGGTCACTAGTTGCAGAGAGCTATCTCCAGCTACTCTATGATTTTCCAGTATGTTCAAAGGAATAAGACAAAATTATGAAAGTTGAAATAAATATAAAAAAAACCTTGCTCTTGTTCATTTTTTAAAAGCTGTTTCTTTGTTATCTTTTTGACAGTCTGTTGAGGGAGTGAGTTTAGTTTTACGCCGCACTCAGCAATATTCAAGCTATATGGTGGCAATCTGTAAATAATTGAGTCTGGACCAACAATCCAGTGATCAACAGCATGAATATCGATCTGTGCAATTTGGAACCGATGACATGTGTCAACCAAGTCAGTGAGCCTGACCACCCGATCCCGTTAGTCGCTCTTACGACAAGCATAGGTTACTGAAGATCAATATTCTAACCCTTGACAGTCTGTTAAACAGACTGCACTTTTATTGCTATATATGGTGAAGATAACAAGTAACTCAGGTAACCTGCTTTGGATCATATGACATGAATATAGGCATGGATACAGCATCCTTGACCCAGCTTCCAGTCAGGTGTATTTAAATATTTGATGAACTCAACATGAGAGACCATCAAGCATGACACGCAGAATGTTATTCTATTTCTACAGTTAAGTAGAAAGGGAGGGAGTATGGTTTTCCACTGTTTTTAGCAAAGTTCCAGTAATAACACTCCTGGGGACCCCAGGGCTTCACACATTGTACCCATGTGGGGCAACAAGCCCGAGTCTTCGGCACAAGAATATTGTGTTTTACTTGCAAGCGGATTTTACTATAGAAAAGGAAAAATACATCTACTATTGACTTGTAAAAGTAATCGTCACCCTATATTCATATTCGTATTCGTTACCCAATTTTCGTGATATGTATCATTTTCCGTCATGGATTTGTTGCAGCTGTAGTTAAGACTGCAGACAGAACATGGAGATTGTAAGAAGTGTATCAAAGATGTGATCTTAATGTAAAGATTGCCTCACCACTTGCGGTGGACGTGAGGGGAATCTTTGCTAGAGCCATAGGTACACTTGCTGGGCAAGTCTGGACGCCTCCAGCACCGGAATGGACTCGCTACTAAGCCGTTATCTGTCATCGTTGAAGGCTTCTGGAAGAATAGAAAATATACTTCATGTGTGTATAGATAAATAAATAACAAACACGAGATAGAAGTTCAAGTACCTCAGATCAAAATCATCTTCATTGTGTATTATTATAGTCAATCTGAAGAACCTGATCTGCCCAAATGCAAGGAGTCACACCAGGAAGAGATAATTTATTGTGGTGGTGGTGGTGGAATTGGGTTTAACGTCGTGCTTGAGAATATTTTTCGCTCATATGACGCATGCGTGCATACGCGTGTATGTGTATATAAGGCTGCTTGTACTAGCCCAGACTGAAGCTGGTTTTATAGTGCTAGCCCACTGAGATACCAGGCCGCAGTGAAGCATGAATACCCCACTCAGACACATTATACTGACACCGAAGCCGACCAGTCCTTGTTGTACCCATTAATGCCAAGAGCCAGGCAGGGACCAACAAGTACCATATTTTAACGTCTTTGGTATGATGCGGTCAGGGATCGAACCCGCGACCTTCCGCTACTCGGGCAGATGCTCTAACCACATTACACCACAGAGGCGGTCTAATTCATTGTGAGTTATAGAATGAATGCAGTGGTTTGAAGGAATACACGTGTTAAAGATTTATCAGTGGTGTGCTGTCGCACAGTCACTGAACCACACTATTTTTCCTTCCATCCAGACCTTTCTGCAATGCTAAAGCCATGAAAGAAGCAAGTCTAGATCCTCGAGTTCTGAATCTCCCATCTCACTGGGAGCTCCTTGTCAATTTAAAGGAATTTTTTCTTTCTGTCAAAATAAAATGTATTCAGAGACTAAGCATTAGTCTAAATGTGTATGTATTTTTTTTTTGGGTGAAAGTGATTCACTCTACTTATAAATTTCTCCAAATTGTACAGTGAGTGAGTGAGTGAGGAGTTTGGTTTTCGCGCTTTTAGCAATATTCCAGCAACATCACAGTGGGGACACCAGAAATGGGCTTCACACAATGTACCCATGTGGGGATTCGAACCGGGTCCTCGCGTGATGAGTACATCCCTTAACCACTAGGCTACCCCACTGCCCCTCAAAATTGTACCGAGATGTTCTCTGGTGAAGTCAGTTTACATAAAGGATACATCCTAAAATTACTGAGGAGTAAAGAAGTTCCTTGCACGTACCCAACACCTAATTTTTAACTATAAACTATAGACTAAACTATAGTGTTTGCTCATCACAAAAATAGGCAGAGTGCGTAAGGAACTCCATTCTGATTCTATACATCACTTCTGTATTATGGAGGTGGAGGATTTCCCACCTCTGTATAGCGATGACACCAAGTCTGCATTCATGGTAGGGGTGACTGTTGAGGTGGAAACAATTATTGCGATAGCGATAGTCTATTGCAACATAATATTGTGACCAACCATTGCAATACTATTTCGATAGTTTTTTTCTCCTTGAATTTGTATATTTGAAGTCATTTCACAAATGAATGTATAGTTTATATGATATACAAATACCAAGTTGAAGTAGATTCTCTTTTAATAACTGACAAGAAACTTGAGACCCAGATAAAGTGAACAGTTAAAACATAAAATTATTGTTACATGTATTCACAATTTCAAACTCTGAGTCGCATGCTGTGTTTGCCGCCATGTTTGTTAAGAGGTAACAGGGGCGGATAACTCTCAATCAAAGAGAACGAATCTACTTCTTCCTGTATTTTATGCTGGTATTTATCAATGGAAGTCAATTACTAAACTATTGATAGTCACACATACTATCGATACATTGATAGTCTCTGGTTTCTACTGTCAAATTATTGTTATTGGAGACTAAACAATTGCAATCCATTGATAGTTTGATGCATCGTTACAGCCCTTTGCACAGTTTAAGTACAAAGCTCAGATGAATTATTTTTGTAAAACATATTTATTCATTACATTAGTATTTAAAAGAGACACAGACGAAATTTAACAGCAGACACAATGACAAACAGCTAAATACTAAGTTGTTCACTGGTCTCGAGGGGGACATGGGCTAATGTACCCTCGATCTTTGTTTATGTTCCCTGAGCCCGAAGGGCGTGGGGAACATAAAGTAACATCAAGGGTGCATCAACCCATGTCACCAGAGGGACCAGTGAACAACATATTTATCTTACCGAACACCTCAATGGTAAATTTGAACTGTTTGAAGCTCGGGTATCGCAGTATGGAGTACCAGACGACAAGAAAAACAAATTTAGAGTTATCTCCCTTCCATAGATTTGCATTTGCAAAACATCGGTAATTTCCGTACATCATACATGATTCAATGTTATTTGATATAAAGAATGACTACTACGAAGTACCAAATGAGTGTGGCATTTCCAGCGGGGTACATAGAAAATGTTACTCGCTTGTACTGGAGGTAAATTGAAAATAATACTGAAATTTGACCCTCAGATGGTCTGCCTACGTGTATTATGGTTGGTTTGTTGTTGTTTAACGCAGCACTCAGCAATATTCCAGCTATATGGCGGCGGTCTGTAAATAATCGAGTCTGGAACAAACATCCCAGTGATCAACAGCACAAACATCGATCTACACATTTGGGAACCGATGATGTGTCAACCAAGTCAGTGAGCCTCACCACCCGATCCCATTAAGGGCTTCTTATGCCTGCTTCCATTAGTTGCGTCTGATGGTGTATTATGGCCAAAATGGCCAACAACAGTTGCCGGTAATACATTCCTTAACATGCCCTACAAACCAACATGTCCAGATGTCCGTGGCAGGTATTTTACATATAATAATCATAATTCACTGAAGTAATTATTTTCCTAATCTCAGAGTTTGTATTTTACATTAACATTTAATGTGATATAGTCTGAAACAAATATACTCATCAGGGTTTTACCGGACGCAAGATTCCTCCGTATTGGACGCAGAAATTTGGTGAAGTACCCCCAAACTAAAATCCTCGGGGTCCTTGTAAATGCAATATAATTTTTTCATGGGAAAGAACTTTCTGAGTTTGTAATGATATCCCATATTAAAATATCACTATTCTATTTACAATCATTATTCTAATGACATTGAAAGTAACACATATCCTAACATAATCATTATCAAATGGGAAGGATTCATTATCATTGATTTAATGCAAATTGACGGATCCCCAATTTTGGAAATGGACTCTCAAAAAAATATGCCCTGAGTACCCAGGACTCCCAGTTTCGAAGAGCTATGTAAAACCCTGACTCATGGAAACGAATATGGGAATGCATGAAAATACAAGTGTTCCTTTATTTATTCCCAAAATTTCACCCACAGTGCAATACATACCTTATGAAGAAACCTGGAAAAGAATAAAGAAACACTTTCATGTGTTCCCTTATTCGGTTCCATGAGTATATATCCGAGAAAACCCATGCAAGTCTAGAAAATGTGGCAAGTCTAGATTACCAGTTTCTGAAAATGAAGAAAGTCTCTAGGCTCCTTTTCATTATATTTTATGAACTGTATTTATTCTGTAAAATGTTCATTTCAGAGAAAAGATGTTAGTTTAACTGTGATCAAGTACAACTGTATTCAAACCTTTTGCTCTATGTCTTGGGGCTGAATATCTGGGTGAGAAGGTCCAGGTAAATCTCTGTGCACTGAATATACCTGTCATGCATTATAATTCCAGACTTGGCAACAGTTGCTACCCTGAGCTTTTGGCAAGACCTTTGCGGTAAAGAAAAGGAGTTGTTGACCTACATTCACATTCATAAATGTCACGACCCAGCTGACAAACCATTTTGATGACAAAGACGATCAATGTTTGTGTAGCCATGAACTAAGTCGTTCTGGCCCAAGTAACCTGTCTCACAGTCCCTGAACCACATTAGTTTCCCCAATGCTTAGCCCACCCTGCAATGCTGAAGCCCTAAATGAAGCAAGTCTAGATTTCCTCAGGTTCCTGAATCTCTGGTCTCACTGGGGCTCCTTTTCAATTTAAATGGGTTTATTTGCTACTATCAAAATGACATGTATTCAGGGACTAAACGTTAGTCTATGGTCCGAGGTACTGATCCTCAAAGCATCTGTAGCACTACTCCACTCCTATGATAAAGTATAGAGTTACGACAGGTCCAAGGACTCCCCATCACATGATCTGATGTATTTGTAGCCCAGGGTCCAGATCCACAAAGCATTCCTACTACATTGGTAAGTCTATGATAAACTATAGAACGCTTTGTTAGTGGGACCCAGGAACATATCTTGGAAAATATATGGCATGACATAAAGCACATAAAATCTCCTGACTGCACTTTGAAAACAGTCAATCACTTGCAAGCAGTTTACAGCAAGTTCCATTACAATGCAGCTCTAACTTTCAGTATCTTTATGATAATCGCACTAATCTCTAGCCAAGGTCACTTCAACCTCGAACCGGGGCGGGGGGGTACTCGGGGTAGCCTAGTGGTGAAAGGGTTCACATGTCACAACGAAGATCTGGGATCGATTCCCCATTTGGGTTCAATGTGTGAAGCCCATTTCTGGTGTCCCTTCCTCCACATGATATTGCTGGAATGTTGGTACAAGTGGTGTAAAACTAAACTCACTCACTCACTTGAATTCCAAAATGCTGGTTTTGGGAAATATGAGTTTGACAGCAGAACAAGAAATCCCAGAATCCTCTGTCATCATCGCATCATCAGTAGTCTAACCTGGACTCCCCACTGTACAACTAACACAGGTAGCTGGTGATCTATTCTAACCAAGACTCCCCACTGTACAACTACCACAGGTAGCTGGTGATCTATTCTAACCCAGACTCTCACAGGTAGCTGTTGATCTATTCTAACCCAGACACACCACTGTACAACTAGCACAGGTAACTGGTGATCTATTCTAACCCAGACACACCACTGTACAACTACCACAGGTAACAGGTGATCTATTCTAACCCAGACTCCCCACTGTACAACTAACACAGGTAACTGGTGACCTATTCTAACCCAGACTCCCACTGTACAACTAACACAGGTAGCTGGTGATCTATTCTAACCCAG